AGTGAAACGCTACGTGTTAATAGAAAAAAAAGACCAAACGTAGGACCGACGTATTTGGAGCGTACGATAAGTCGTTAACCCAACCACAGAACAATGGAATACGGTATCGTGTTTAACTATAGTTAACGTATCTAGTTTATGGATGGGAGGCAATCCAGAATACCGTCTGATATTCAGAAATGGTTGAAATGGGCAAAGGTATACGAGACGAAAAGATGCGAACAACCGTCAGATGGAATTTTAAAATCCGTGACCACCTAGGAAAAATCCAACATCATATAAACGTTTAGAAGGGTGTGCTTATGAGTTGTGCCAGGATTCGGATGGCAGTCACCTTCGTCTCTATTGGTTATTAGTTAAAATCTCCTAGTTTTAATTGTCTTCTGTTTTTCTGGTTCCTGTAGCTTATTTTTTAGACATGTGTCCAAATAACTGTCTGCATGCTGATTATAGATCGGAGTGGCTGTGGGGATCCTGTTTTTGACTGCTGTGATAATTCGCAATCTGTATCACCAGAGTTTAGGCGGTTGACTGATATGGCTACAAGTGATAACTGTGCACAGTATCCCATTGAAACGCCGCATAACTAGACAGCATACTGTTGGACATCAGAAATTCTGAATGCATTTATGACAGATTTTGAGCTACACAAGGTTTTTATTTATTCGGATTTCTTTTTAGGAATCGGAATAAATTTAGAACTTGTGTAGCTTCCAAACGTACTTTTGATCGAGCAAAGTAATTGGCGGCAGAATTGTAGTGAAACGTGTGGTCCTCGCTTTCCGTTCGCCGTGAGTTGTAAGTTGAGCAACTTCTGTACATCTTTTTAAAATAACCGACCGGTTAAGAAACTGTGTGACATTTTACTCTCTACCTTTGTTGGTGTTGTCCAATAGGCTCAGTCTAGACAGCCCGTCACTGTGGCTATTTACTGAACAAACGGCATATGTCGTTTATACGGCTAACGTTGCCGGGCGAATTTTGCAGTTACATAAGGATAAAGTCTAGTAGTACCTTTCGTATACTGTGGGGTAGAGTTAAATACGAGAGCAAAGTGGGTGATTTTATCAGGACTTAGCTGAGAAAATACTGTGGTTATATTTTCATGCTTCGACAGCAGTTTTAGAGCACCTGTTACACCCTACGAGTGGGCCCAAACAATAATTGTCCCGTGCATCCTGTGGAGTAATCTCTGTTAGCGATTACAAGCCATGGTCAAGCGAGGTAGATCAGTGCACTATGCGAACTCACTAAGGCAATTTCCCTGACCGTCAGCGGTATTTTCCAGAAGGTACACGAACTTATGAACTCCTGTAGGTATAGATTCCATGGCGGAAGATTGCGCCATCCCAACCTCATTAATACAGCTAGAATCCAAGACAATAAGCTAGGCTGTAAAGTGCGAAATTTTCTTCCTAGATCTCGGTAAAACACCCCATGCGATTAAATACCACCTGATTGACGAGCAGCATTACATCCTTCAGCCGGAAGAGCAGCCAATTGGATCAAGCGTTTTCTAAACTATAAAACCTTCTGCATATGTTGCCTAATTTTTTGGTTTCATAACGATCTAAAAGGGTCTAGTCTGCGGCCGTTGTTCTCCAGTATCAATAAAAATAACCTACTGGATATAGTTTCGGCATCTTTACCCGACATACGGCTTTTCTCTGGATTTTGAGTGAATCGGTTAATGGGGCCTCGGCGTCATGCGCGCAGTTTACAGTCCCTAATTAATTCAGAGTCGGACTCAGAAATGTGTCTTAATGCGGCAACAGATACTAAACCCCATCTGTACACTTCGCCAGTTGCCAACTCGGGAATGATTTCTTATTCCAGCCTAGTATCACTGAAATGACGCTTATAGGCTGCTGTCGAGCCTCAAAAGTAGCCTTTTCTTGCTCCTAAACGTTTTAACTGTTCCAATGAGGACACTTTTCCAGATGCTATGTGCCACGCTTTCCAGCCAGAGCACCGATACTATTCACTAGCGTTGACGGCGTATTGCGTGCGTGACAGGGAAGTTCTGGAAGGGATTCAATGCCATGCTACCAGGTTGGTTCGCTATATTTGAAATGTGGACCAAAAGAAAAGGCTGAATATGTGCCAAGTGCCTGCACTGTGACAGAGGGCAACGCGCAATCCTTGTATAGTTATATAAAATAGTCAGGATGATTGGAGACGTTGGTGTGCTGTTTTTCTGGCGTACCCATGTAGTACTCATGGGGGTGGGGGTATTCCAAAAGCTGTTCAGGACCTGGATGAGTTCACATGTTTGGCAGACGAGTTTTTTTTGCGTGTTATCAGGGTTTGAACCAAATTGTCTGAGGAAGTCAACCTAGTCCTACATGCACACTATTTATTGGGCCATGATTCTTTGTGGGTTCAAAGGTGTCCTGTTGGCATGCGTAGGGTTGTAAAATATTCGCCCAGCAACTCTGCTGTCTAAGTTATTCACCATCACGATCATAATGTATACTGTGCAACTTGATGTCACTTAAAAGTGGTCTAGGGAGGATGTCTTTTGTCTTGTTGCTTGTTCGCGTTTGCGTCACTTCCGAATTTTACTGGCCTTGTGGTCCGTTTTTCGTGCATCGTTGCCCTATTCTCCTACAACTTTCGTTCGACGTGAGTCTCTTTGGGTTCTTCTTCTTTTCGATTTTTAAGTTCTTCTTGTGGCTTAAATATTTTAACTTTCATTTCTTCATCGGATTTCGTAGCCTCGTAGACCCCAACAGGAAAACACAATGTCAAAAATTCTTGTATTTTCTCATCGACCTCTCAGCTTTATCTCGGAGTGACCAGTTTTAGGTCTCCTCCTTCCAAATTTATTCTTATCCATCCCACATAGCTATCTTTTCTGTGTGATGGGTTGACTGAGGACTCCGGTTTTTGTCTAAATCGAGTTCTCATGTTGGTCCAACCAGCACATTTACTTAGCCAGCTCTATCTACCTTTATTGTGTAATCTGTTACTTAAGGAGAAATTATTTCCATTCTGTCGATCAGTCTCCAGACATGTGCCAATTATATTGTTATTACCGCTGATAATACTACTACTTATTGATGATTATATTGCGTTTACCATTAGTGCCACCTCTAGTACCTCATAAGTAGTCCTAAACTCCATAGGAAAGAGAAAACTGGTGCACAAGTCTCCGTTGGTATGAGCTTCCATCTACTATGTCATATTATGTTGGTCCGGAAGACCGGTTTCTGTCGTCTGTGGATGTGAGCAGAATAAAATTAATTGCTTATTTCACTCTACTCCCTGACGAAGTTTTTTTGGTACCCATCGTCTGGGAGGGAAATATTTCTGTGGAGATCGCATGTTCCCAACAGTAGTGTGCACAAACTTCTGCAATGTTCTTCATGGTTGCATGTTTTATTTGTCTTCTGATCTTTGTTACCGTCTGTGGCGCCGTTTAATAACGTTATGACAGACTGTCGGATTGTGTCATTACACTACGTATGCTAGTTAATACCACCCGTGAAATGCTTTAAAGGTGTGAAGTTAACTAAACAACTGCAAACAGATGGTTTTGCTAATGCCTTGTCCGATTGTACCCACTAAGTGATATTCGAGGTGCCGTTGCTTCCTAAGAACTAAGAACTAAAGCGAGAAGCAAATTGTTTGATCGTCTCAGTATCACACACGATAGTTCGACCTTCGATCTCGACGATGTCCACTGTGTGCTACACAACAAGATGCAACAGGCACGGTGACTTGCGTATGACTTATTTTACAGTGGCAGTGGATTTGCGCAGCATCTACTGCTCTCTCTCTTCCCCACTCTCCACCTGCACCCGGTGTCAAGACAGAGTCAAGAAGACCGGGGGCGGGGGAGGGTGCAGGTGCATGGCACGGCCGGACCCGCACCTAAGCGTGCCACCACACCCCCTGGTCAACAACGTACAATTGACCAGGATTTTTCACGAATATCAACACCCCAACAGGGGTCAGAAGGAAGACGATGACTGGGCAGTTATGCCCACCACCTGCATACCCAGCGAGAGCGTATGCGCATCTACCGACAGGGAACTGCTAACGCATACCAGGCTGCGAGGTCCATTGTTTGCTGATACTGGCATAGCACACGCTTTCAGACCATTTGATTGCATTGAGGACAGGTGTGGATCGAGTCCACATCTCTGCTGTTGATGCTCGTTGGTGTCAAGATGGGTAATAGAGCCACCGTCGCGGATGTTAAGGCAATGGTGGAGGAGGATCGTAGTTGGGGTTCGGGAGTTCGCTCAGTGATAGTTGTCGGGGTGGGGGATGAGGCAAAGTTGAACGGGGAGACAACGGCTGGTATAGTCTGGTTGCTGTCGTTGGTCTAAAGATGTCCGATAAGGCAGATTGGTACCCGGAACGTCCTCTGGCAGAGTGGGCAGGTCGGGGACGGTTGAGCTTTGGTGCTGCGTGGTGGGCGCAGTTGGGATTTGGAGCCTCGCATTTGGCTTTGGCGGCGGTGATGTAGTTGACGTCGTAGATCGCTGCGCCTGTCTTCACTGTCCTCCAGGTCGGTCGGTCTATGGGGGGGGCCTTCCCAGTTGGCCGGGTTGATCCGCAAATCTTTTAGGGAATTCTTCAGAGTTGTCCTTGTAGCGGCTGACTTGACCTTCTTGTCAGCGTGAGCCCGTGGCGATATCGCCGTAGGAGAGTCGTTTGGATAACCGCTCGTCGTCCATCCACACGAGGTGGCCGCTCCAACGCAGTTGCAGTTGTCTCAGCATGGCGTAGATGCTGAGGATTCTCGTCCGCTCCAGTACGTCCGTGTCCGGGATCCGGTCTTGCCATCTCGGTTTCAGTATCCATCAAAGACAGCTGAAGTGGAAGTGGTCGAGTCTCCGCGCGTGCTTCTTGCACACCGTCCAGGTCTCCGCTCCATACATCAGCTTCGGCAGGCTGACTGCCTTGTAATCTTCAGTTTGGTGTTAAGATGGAGACCGTGACGGCTCCAGACGATGTTTTGCAGACGACCGAAGGCTTGGCGGGCCTATTCATCGTCGATTTTGCTGTTGCGAGAGGATGCTGTCCAGGTAGGTAAAGTTGCCCAAGGCTTGCAGTTGGGCACCGTTCACGTTGATTCGGGGTGCAACGTAGGCAGTTTTGGGTGGCAGTTGATGCATAACAACCGTCTTTTTCGTGTTGCTGACCAGGCCGAAGTTGTTGCAGGCGGCAGCAAAGAGATCCATGCTCCTTTGCATGCCCCCTTCCAAGGTGGCATTGTGGGCACAATCGTCGGTGAAGAGAAGTTTACGGACTGTAGTTATGGAAACAGTCGACTAAAAGGGCATCCGCCAGTGGTTGTGGAGTTGGCCATCCGTCCTGTGGGCGATGTGGATCCCGGGGCGTTAGTCACGGTAGGCGTCCACCAACATGACAGAGGACATTAGACTGAAGAGGGTTGGCGCGGGGACGCAGCCCTGCCTCACCGCATTAGTCACTGCGAATGCCTCTGAGATAGCTCCTATGTCCGTGACGCACGCCATCGTGGAGTTGACGCACTATCTGAGTGAATCGTTCGGGACAGTTAAATTTTTGCATGATTTTCTACAGTTCTCGATTACCGTGTCGAAGGCCTTAATCATATCCACGTAGATGGACTGGGGATGGGTCTACATCTCCTAACACTTCTGTAATTGGCGGACGGCGAAGGTGGTGTTGGTGGTTTCACGATGACAGCGGAAGCCGCACCGGCTTTCCGGCAGGAGACCTTGTTCCAGATGGTTGTTCAGGCGGTTGAGAAGGACACGAGTGAAGATTCTCCCAACAATGTTCAGCAAGGAGATGCCTCGATGGTTGTCACAGACCTGGCGGTTCCCTTTGCGCTTGTAGAGGTGGACGATTGTGGCGTCCTTGAAATCCTTGACACCACATCTCCTAGAAGAGCACCGTCAGATAATCCATGAGTTGGAGCCCATCGTGCTTGTGGATCTCAGCAGGGATCGCGTCCGATCCGGACGTTTTCCCGCTGGAGAGCTGCGGCACGACCCCGATGGCTTCGTAGTGAGAAGGCGGGAGGTCGAGGTCGGCATTGGTCTCTACTTGAGACAGACGGGCGATGGCGGCGTCGGAGTTGGTGTAGAGACGGTTGAGGACACTTCTGAAGTGTTCGGTCCATCGCTGAAGAATTTGTGTCTTCTCGGTGAGTAGGGTACTGCAGTCGGCTCTGAGAAGAGGAGCATTTGCTTTGGTTGTTGGACCATAGACAGCCTTGATCGCGGTGAAGAAGTTCTTCCATTTGTTGTGACCTGCGTACCCTTGGATCTCCTCGGCCATACGAACCGTCCAAGCGTCCTGCATCTCCCGCAGCCGCTGTTGCGCAAGACGGCGGCTACGACAGAAGGCTGCTTTATTGTCATCGGTGGGGCGGGTGACGTAGGCTTCGTGCAGGAGGTTCTTCTCGTCGAGCAGGTTGCTGATGGCGGCGTCGTCATCAAACCAGTCCTGATGTTGGCGCCGTGCGTGACCGAGGACAGCCAGGGTCGTTGACTGGACTGTTTCCCGCAGTTGACGCCATCATTTCTCTACGGAGGCGTTTTCATCAGCGGCGGCGGCGACCGTAAGGTTGGCTAACCTTTGAGCTAGTTCATTGCTGATATTGGTATGGTGAGCAGGCAACAAAGCAGTGTTCAGCTTACTTGGTGGTCGCTTGCCTCGAGGTCTCTTGTGCGGCTGTAGGTTAATCTGCATCTTGGAGATGGCGAGACGATGGTCGGTCCACCCGTCAATACCCGGAGTCGCCTTTGTCACCAGCATGTCCCACTGGTCTCGCTTCCGGAAGAGGACATGGTCCTGCAGGTACCAGTGTCGCGACCATGGGTGCATCGAGGTAGCCTCTTGCATCGGGAGGTGGAGGTAGGTGTTGGTCAGGACGGAGCGATGTTCTGAACAGGTTCGCAGGAGGAGCAGGCCACTGTCATTGGACCCGTCGAGACCATGAGCACCCAGCACTCCTCTCCAGGCAATATGGTCTGTGCCGATGCGGGCGTTAGTCACCAAGGACAATCAGCTTATCCGCCTTCGGCACAGACGCCAG